TGTTCAGCACATTCGGATTTGTTCATTCGGATATCAGGAACAGATTGGGAATCGAAAAAGGAGGGAAATTAGTGTTCCTCTTCAGACTTTATAACAAAAATGAAGAGAAAGAGAAGTGATTTCCGTTTTAGTATTATTGCGTTTACCATTAATACCGTTTAATTTTTAAGTTCACATGTACCGCTTTCTATTTTGATTTTAATTTCTTAGAATTATTTGTGTTCTGTTTTATATTTTTTGAGTGGAAATATAAAGTTTCTTGAAAAAATGAAATCGTGATTTTTTTCCAAAAAAGTCAGGTGATTTAAATCATGATTTAAATCACTTGAAAAAAATCAAGCCAACCCTGTTCAACTGCATGAAAGATATTAAGGGTGGGAAGTTTTCAAATTGACACCCGGTATAGTACAAAATATAATTCCACGCTCGTAAAAAAATCTGTCTATCAAATACTTAGTTCACTAAACTTATTCGTTAACTTCAAAAACCGCATGAATAAAATAAGCACTTGTTTCGTTTATATGGCAATGCTGATTGAACACATTGCATAACTTATAGGAAATGAGGCCACAAAAAATACATTAGTATGACAAATGAGTAATTTTATAATTATTAAGGTCAAGTTAACACATTAATCCCCGTAAAATTAATATAATTCACAACACATAGGTCTGATAAGAATGGCAAGTGGTCTCTGTTAAATGGTGAATTATGGAACACTGAAATTATAGAAAGTCGGTACAAAGTAATAGATTGATTGTTTCAGTAAAAGGGGTATAAGAAAATAAAAATCAAGTAAAAAAAACTGAACAAGAATGAACATGACGGTGAGTTGATCCATCAATTTACATACCTAGTAATTAAATTAAAACTAATATAATTAGGTATGCATTCTGCAAACTGAGTAACAAATTGTCGTTATTGCAGGTTATTTTATTGAGCATCTCTTCATTTACACCAACAATGAAGAACTCGCAACTTGATTGGTACCAAAAGTTCCAGGCCGTTTTTAAGTTACTTATATGTCATAACTTTAAACTTGCATTTTAAATTATTATTTTTATTTTTTAGTCCTTAAATGCTTTTACATCACCCTAGTTTACATTTACGAGATGATATAATTTTTCAATAGAAGTTATAAACTAAATCAAAAATTCTAACTCAGAATTGTGAATATGGGGTGTAAATAGGTTAAAACATTTAAACAGATAATAAAGAAATAAATTGAAAAATTAAAATTGTGCTTTTCTAAACTATTCTACCATTTTTGAAAAAGTAGTTAAATAGATGGTATTTAACTACCAAAAAATACTTAAATACCAAAAAGTAATTTAATTCCTAAATACTTGCCCAGCTCTGCCGGTGGGACACCCTGTATACAGGGTTATTCACGCTATACGGCACGGAAGTTTGCGGCTAAACCGTTTGATTTTTAAAAAGTATTATTTTATGAATTGTCCGACGCCTA